TCTGAAGATGCAAGCCACTCGTGCTTGCGAAACGTCAAGAAGAAATTCTACCGAACGACGGCCTAAAAACCCGAAAACCCCATTAGTTTCAAGGACTGGCCTCGAAAGTCTATCTTTTTTGAACAAATTATTGTTTTGGATCTTCAGAAGTAGTTTGCTTCAACGCAACCACTTCTGAAGATGCAAGCCACTCGTGCTTGCGAAACGTCAAGGAGAAATTCTACCGAACGACGGCCTAAAAACCCGAAAAACCCATTAGTTTCAAGGAATGGCCTCGAAAGTCTATCTTTTTTGAACAAATTATTGTTTTGGATCTTCAGAAGTGGTTTGCTTGAACGCAACCACTTCTGAAGATGCACGCCACTCGTGCTTGCGAAACGTCAAGAAGAAATTCTATCGAACGACGGCCTAAAAACCCGAAAACCCATTAGTTTCAAGGAATGGTCTCGAAAGTCTATCTTTTTTGAACAAATTATTGTTTTGTAAGTTGATTCAATAGTTTCTGGCTCATTTTAACATTGTTATTCCCAGTTTTGCAAACTGTGCCACACCTACTGTATTTTGTTTGAAGTGGAACTTTCAGAATTTTTTACTGTGTAAGCCATTTGGCTGATATACATACTCATGGCAAAAATATTGCAACCCTCCCTCTAATATTATTAACACATTTTCAACATACAAAAGAGAAATCGCATTGAACGTAGTGGAAATTTCCAAAGACGCTCTGGCATTCCTTTCAGCACTATATCGAACATGTTGCCTGGGGATTTTGGAAAATTGATATGCTTTATCGATATTTCGCTCCATTATAATGTTGTGCGATTACGCCTTACTTTATGGAAAATGGGCCACCGGGACGTGGACCGCGCCTCTTTGTTATCCATAACATTTTCCATCATAAACTTGCTTTCTCTTCGCTTTCTTGCGCATGAGGTCAAACCGAAAAGTATCTATATGCAAATTCGAGACACAATGATATCTGATATACTTTGGCCAATGTATTGAGGCCATTATGCAAAAAAAGCCGTAGATGGAAAGGATTATTTAGAGCCGTTTAAAGCAACGTATTGTGGAAAGGAAAATGGAAAATACTGTCTGGCTGGATCTGAATATTTATCAAATTGAGCAAGTTGCTAAATTTCGTTGACTCTTTCACATCAATTCGTTTGTTGATATTCATGCATTATTCAACCAATTTTATCGCAAACATTTTTTCAAATAGAGCTTGGTTAATGGACAAGTTCAAAGTGTCTGCTTTCTTGGCGTTCAGAAGCAGATCTTCCAGATTAATTTAAAGTAACCACAGAGTTTTCGGTTTGATCAGTTTTCAGGGGGATTCTAATGTGGCTTCATTAATGTTGTCGGAGAGTATCAAGGTGATAAAGAAACAATAATAAAACAAATAATTCCAGCTAAAAAATTTGATATTTGCAAAAAATAAAAAACCTTTCATTCGCACCTGCAAGTGGTTTTTTCTTTATTATGTTTATAATGGTCCTGGTAAAAAAAATTCCTGATTCATTACTGAACTATTGACAACTTTTCGAAAAAGAAATGCAAAGTTTCAGACAGTTGTGCTCTATTTGGAACATTTATTTACCTATAATTTGAATCACCCTGCCTAACAACACACCACTTCCTTTTAAACGTTTGCCAATCTTTATCAGAACAGATTCTTCATTTTCATGTTGTGGTCTTCTCAACCAATTTTACTTTTTCAGAACTGAAATTTCAGATACACAAAGTTTATTAAATTTCCGTTAATATAAATTACTGCAGTTTTTTAGCTCGCAATATTTTTCAACAAAACTTTAGAACTAATAAAAGCAAATTGAAAAAATCACTTAATTCGAAACTTTGGAATAGCTGATTGTTATTGTTATTGCCTTTACACTCGATTAAATTTGTTTTCACTGTTTCAACTCGCAATTTTTTCTCTTAATCAAAACCAATAAAAATAAAACCCGTAACTGCTTTTATTGCTGGGGAGCATCTTTCAAGAAGATACGGCTTTACGGTCTTCTAACCGCATCGGGCGCAGTTCAACATCAATGTATTAAGACATTCACGGGACGAGACGGAGAGAAAATACCGGAAAATGTTAAAGTTTGAAAGTTTTCGTTCAAAATTGTTCAGCCGCCGCGTAAAGTGGCCGATCTATATTCCGACCGACCAAAATTAAATTAGGGAAAACTTGCAAGTTTGAGACATAGTTTTGGTCGGAAAAAACCCGAGTTAAGAATTTTTGCTTAGCGATCGAGGATCTAAAGTCAAACGTACTCAAAATCCGTTTTCTTGCTATCTGATCAGGACAAAGCGATTAATGTTTTGGGCATTCGAATGCAACGAGCTGAAAAACAAGCAACGCAACCTCCGAAAAACTCTTTCATTAGCAATATTAGCTCAGTGCATAGAAACCACAAGAACAATGTGGAGTTTACTCAAAGTTCCACTTTTCTTCTGAGGACGCTTCAGTTCAACAAGCCAATTGGAAAAACTTTTTAATTTCCCGGGAAAGCTCCATAGGGCGGAGCGAACCAGCCTTCTGATAATGGAAATAAAATTCATTCCTGGGTTTCAGTCATTTATTGTCTCTGTTTATCAATCAAAATACGTTTCGGTGTATTTTTCCACCATCATCAGTTTTTATGTGTAGCGTTGTTGCTGCTTTAAGCCTTGGCATGCATTTT